GAAAATCCTTTAGACATTTTGAGTTAGTCTCCTTTAAAACAGAGAATAGATTGCCTTTGAAAGTATCTGGCTTTTCTGGGACCAATGTGACTTTGGCTGCTTTGGATAAGATGAGCCAGAGGTCAGACATCATTCAGGTTCTATCAAAGCTTGGAGAACATGAGATTATGTGATCTCATCTAAGAAATGAAGAAAAGGCACTTTTGCACTCATGAAAATTGAATTGGTTTAGGTGGGGGAGCACATTGACTCACCGCAGTTCCCATCAGCTATTTGACTGTTTAGACTTGTATTTAAAGTTCTGTCTCCTGTTTTTAAAATTTTCCTTAATTATATCTTTTGCATGCTCTTTATCTTAATCTTGGGTTAGATCATTTTTTTTTTCCTGCCCACTTAATTTTCCAGCCTCCCACGAAGCTAACAAAATATAGAGAACACGTTTCAGTTCTTGGAATCACTTTGTTATATATCCAGCAACAATCCTAAGAACTTTTTCTGGGATTTAGACTCTCAACCTTGTGGTTTTTCAATTTAATTTCAGCTGTCGTTGGTGTATGGTAGTAATTTCTAAGTAGCTTTCTAGCCCCCATTTTGTTCACATCATTTTCCTTGCTCTCATCATTTTGGGTTTTAGAATAAATATAGAGTAAGAAAAACAAATAGAGAAAACATCCTGTTATATAATAAAGAACAGGATAATTTTGGAAATGCTGTTGGTGCCTTGTAAATAAATTATATCTTATTCTCTGTCCTTGGAATTAAAGTATGCAACATGATTGATAGACTTTGGGAAAACACAAGAGATTATTGAACATGAAGAATTGTATTCATTGCTTAACCTGTTTGATTAAAAGTGAGCATTATTACCGGGGGTGAGGCTACAGTGTAATACTACTTTTGAAGTGTTGCAGTTTCTTTAAACATATTATTTTCACAGAGCTTCAAATTTGAAGTTTCCAGAACTGGAAATTTGAAATGTTTAACACAGCTAGCTTTTGATCTTTTGTTTCCACTTCAAGAAATACTTGCATTCTACAGAGATACTTGCATGCCCATATAAAGATGTAGACAGATATGTGTATGTGTGTATTGGTGGGGAAAGAAAGGGTGGTCACTGCAACTGTGTATAATAGCAATAAAAGGCACAACCTAAATGCCCACCAATAAGGTAGAACCAGCCATTAAAAACAAAGAGGTGTGTTGGGCGCCTGCGCGTCTCAGTTGGTTGAGCATCTGACTCTTGATTTCAGCTCAGGTCATGATCTCATCGTTCATGAAATCAAGCCCCGGGTTATGCTCTGTGCTGACAGCATGGTGGAAATACATCCATGTATTTCTGAGCCCACCTGAGAATCACTACCCATGAGAAAGATACTACTCATAGGAATGTGTTGTGCATTTAAATAATGTGCAGGAAAATGAGATTATGAAACAATCACAGGCCTTCCTGATCCCAAGGTATCCTGAGTCCCAACATTGAGTTGAAGCTTCTCCCCACCTCCGAAGTCAAAAGTCTCTGAAATAATCAAACCACCACAAAAACAGACTGGATTCTGATGAAGTAGCAGGAATTAAGCCAAGAGAACGAGGGGAAAATAAGAAAAAGGACAATTCCACAAAACCTGAGACTGCTTTTAGTACCCCAGGTTACAGAAGGGTGGGAAGCTTCAGAGGTTAAGGGATTTAGCTGTAGCAAGGATAGCTACTTAAGATAGAGGGTGCTTCTGAATTCTTGATCATGGACTTCAGCTACTCTCTTAAAACTTCTGCTTCGTCAGTTATCATAGCTACCTGAGTTTTTGGTTGCTGGAAGGAGGTCCTTAGAGGTTGTGCTTTCCACACCTATTTTACAGACAAGGATACTGAAGACACACAGCAAGCTCTTTATTACAGAGCTGATTAGAGTCCTGGCTCCTAGTTAGTGTTCTCCTGGACTGTGTGTAACTAGTGAATTGTAAAACCTCCACCAAGGTGGAGATTTTATTTTTTATTTTACTGAGGACCATTATTTTCTCCCTTTCTAGAGGGTATTTACTCTAAGGACAGTATAGGGTAGTTGTAAAAAGTGAATAACAAAGGGTAATTTGCCCTGCATCTGCATATTTACTGGGCCATGTTACTAGTATTCTTAGATGACCTGTATAAAATAGGGTATCTTGGTGGTGGTGTATGATGGAAGGGATACTAGTCTGTTATAGAGTAAGAAAAATTGAGATTGTTGAAGTTTCAAGCAGCCTCCTTCAGTTTGCCCATCCTGGTATCATGAAGGGCTCAGTTGACAGTTGAACCTGAGTCCTGTTTTGGCATTCCTCTCCTGCTCAGTACCCATGTGCTTAGTGTGGTAGGGAATGTGAGGGTTGGAATCTGTACTCAGCTGTTTACAAGGCTTGGTATGTAATGTGCATACAGTTCATCCATTTATTTATTCAGCAAATGTTTAAGTGGCTCTTATGTGTCAGACACTTTTACATGCTGGGGATGTAACACTTAAAACCGATAAAAATCCCTGCCATCTCGGCATTTACATTCAAGCAGAGGGAGACAGACTAAACAAAGAAGTAAAATGGAGCATGAGGTGGGGAGCTGGCTGGAAAGGGGAATAGGGAATCTGGGTGTTGGTAGTTTTAAATAAGGTTGAGTCAGGGGAAGGCTCATTAGAAGGTGATGTTTGAGCAACAACCCGAAGGAGAAGGAGCCATTGTTTCAGGTAGAAGGGATGGATGACAAGGGCCCAGTCTGTGATGTAGAAGCTTATAGGGTGTGTGGGGGGTGGGTTGGGGCATGTGGTGAAGCCCAGTAGGTTAGGGGCAGTCAGGGATGATGAGGTTGGAGAGACTGTTGGGTCTAGACTGTAAGGAGGTGGTTGTTTTTAACTGATTGAAATGGGGCCACTAAAGGCCTTTGAGCAGAGTGACATGATCTGACTTAGGTTTTTTGATTGATTTTCTTTTTCCCCCGTAATTGATTTTCCAAACTGACTTTCCAAAAGGTTGTACTAATTTATATTTCCATCAACAAACTATGGAGAGACCTATTTTCTTACATTCTCAGAACACAGAGTATTAGTAAACTTCTTAATAACTTTTAAGTCACTAAATAATAACTTCATATTTATTTAATCTTCAATAACTTTTAATAACTTTAATGTTTAATAACCTGATAACTTTGTAACTTCACCCATTTGATAGGTGAAAAATAATATTTTATGACTTTAATTTGCATGTTTGATTTTGAAGGGAGTTTACTTTTTTTGTGTGAACTGCCTTTTCATTTTCTTTGCCCATTGTTTTTGTTTCGAGTGTTTTGTCACTTCCTCACTAATTTTCTGGAGGCTTTTTCTATTTTAATGAAATGGCAAGTAGTTTTTCCATTGCGTTTTGACTTGTTTATGATAGTTTAGTGTTTTCCTTTACAGAAGTTTGAAGTTTTTATTAATCTTTATATCTTTAATATTTATCTTTCTTTTATGGCTTCTGTTTAGGTCTTAGGTCATACTTAGAAATGTCTCGCTCATTCTGGGTAAATATATATTTGCCACTTTTTTCCTATTCCTTTTGTAACTTTATATTTTTTAATATTTAACTTTTCTACCTAGAATTTATTTTGGTATAAAGAGTGATACGTAGGTGTCCAGATTTTCTTCTTCCTATTGGCTAGTGGTCATCTCAGCGCTACTTACTTTAACCCTACTGATTGAAATGCTGCTGTGATCTCATTCCAGGTTCTCATTTGGGTCTGGCATCCACTTAAATTGTTTTTTTAAAGGTAACTTCATCACCAGTTTTTTTGTGTGTGTGTGGTTTTTTTTTTTAAGGCAGTGGGAGTTAATAAATATTGATTGGGCATCTATTACTTTCTCTTAATCTCTTTACGAAGATTACTGACCAGAGTTGGGAGTATCAGAGTCATTAAGATTGCCAGGAATGGGCTGAAGGAGGCTTTAAAAGCCCCTTGCAATGAGGTGTGATGAGGTGGGAACAAGAGCAGGAGGACTAGTTTCTAATTGCAGGGAGTTTACAGCTAAGTTGGAGGATAATACACAAAGCCTTCCCTAATCAAAGTAGAAGTGTGTATGCCAGTGGCATGTGAGGATGGTTCAGTACTAACTTACATGGAACAGACCATTCAAAAGTTAATTTGCTAATTGTGTAGTATACAGAAAAATATTAAAAATATACACAGAAAAGGGAGAGAGGTAGTGTGGGGTGGAATATTAGGGAGTGGGAGAAAAGCGTCATCTGTTACATTCCTAAAGCATTATTTTTGGGGTGCCTGGGTGGCTCAGTTAGCTAAGCATCCAGTTCTTGATCTCAGCTCAGGTCTTGATCTCAGGATTGTGAATTCAAGCCTTGTGTTGGGGTCCACACTGGGTGTGAAGACTACTTTAAAAAAGAAAGCTAATTTATTATTTATTTATTTACTTACTTATTTATTTATTTATTTATTTATGTTTTTTAAAGTAATCTCTACACCCGCCGTGGGGCTCAAACTCACAACCCCGAGATTGAAAGTCACACGCTCTACCGACTAAGCCACCTAGACGCCCCCTAAAGCTAATTAAAATAGGCCTCTTATCTTAGTCTGAGGTTTTAGTACACTAAAATGCTTGTTCATGCTGTCTTTTTTTGTGAAATATTAAACTCTTGAAACTCTTGAAATTCAAATATATTTGTGCAATGGTGCCATGCTTTTATTAGTGGATTATTTTAGCCTCTAGATAATTAGCTTTGCTAGCCCTGAAAAAATTTCACTCATAACTGGTTTTGACTTGTAGTATATATATTAATATAAATGTAAACTAAGGTGACTTATGGGCAGGATTGGGACCAGAATCTAGGTCTTGTGCTTTAGCTCAGTGGTCTTAGATTAAAGCTGCTTTGAGTTATATTGTTTCACAGTGGAGACGAGAAAAAAAAAAAGTGGCGTAATCTTTGTACAGTGTACTTGCGTGAGGAGTGTCTCCGGAGTTTGACTTTAATTCCTCAGAGTTTCTCTTATAGGACTGGTTGGACAATGGCCCAGAACAAGCTCTTTAACAAGATCCTCAAAGCCCTGCAGTCTGACCGGCTTGCCCGCTTGGCCAATGAAGGGGTAAGACTCTAGAAGGGCTCTGCCTTGTTCAGCCTTACTGGCTGACTACCTTGACGATCCCCCTACCTACTCCAGTTGTTAATAAGGTGGCCCTTCACGTGTTATCACTTCGCTTACATCATCCAGGCTTGCAATGAGCCAGTACTACGCCGTGTTGCTGTGGACAAGTGTGCGAGGAGAGTGCGGCAGGCTCTCGCAAGCGTGAGCTGGGACACCAAGCTGATCCAGTGGCTGCATACCACCCTGGTGGAGACCTTGAGTCTGCCCATGCTGGCTGCCTACCTGGATGCTTTGCAGACACTGAAAGGGAAGGTAAGGCTGTGATTGGCATCTGTCCTGTCCTGGGGTAGCAGTCTCTGCTGTGGGTTCAGGAAGTGGGGTTGGGCAAGGTCACTGCCTGGTCAGCCTAGAGGACATGACTGAAGCTAAATAGGAGACGTGTTATCATTTCACGTTTTGTCTGGTGTAAATGTCTTCAGTCCTGCTGTCTCCAGGATGGAGCGTAGGGCTTGAAAACCAAAATGTACTTTAGCCTCTCTAGTCCTGTCTGCAGCTGGTGGTTTGAGTCACCTCTGAGGTCAGATGAGAAAAGAATTACCACAGAGGAGACAAAGGACTTAACAGGGAGGCGTGTTGACAAGGAGGCAAGAAGCCGACTTAGCTGTTTGGAGTACAGGATTGCAGAGTGGGGAGTTTTCCAGAGCACTGTCCATTCTAGGCTGTGCTCTCAGCAGTGGTTCCTCTATTCTCAGATTCTTCTTAGACTATCAGGTTCTGTCTCAAATTTTTAAAAATTTTTTTTAAATTTTTATTATTGAAGCATAATTGGGATATAGTTTCAGGTGTGCAGCATAGTTTCTTGACAATTCTGTACATTACTCAAGTGTTCCCCACAGTAAGTGTAGTCACCATCTGTCACCATAGAATGTTATTATAGTGTTATTGAGTATATTTCCTATGCTGTACTTTTCATCTCTGTGACTTAATTTATTTTATAATTGGAAGTTGCATCTCTTAATCCCCTTCACCTATTTCGCCTGTCCCCCAACTGTCTTTCCTCTGGCAACCACCAGTTCTCTGTATTTATGAGTCTGTTTTGTAGCTTGTTCATTTGTTTTTTAGATTCCACATATAAGTGGAATCACTTGGTGTTTGTCTTTCTCTGACTTACTTCACTTAGCATAATATCCTCCAGGTCCATCCATGTTGTCACAGATGGCAGAATCTCATTCTTTTTCATGGCTGAGTATATTCCATTATATATATACCACATCATCTTTATCCATTCATCTGTTGGTGGGTACTTGGTTGCTTGCATACCTTAGTTATTACACATAATGCTGTAGTGAACATAGGGGTGCTTATTATATCTTTTCAAATTAGTGTTTTTCTTTTTTTTTTTTAATGTTTATTTGTTTTGAGAGAGAGTGTGTGCGAGCAGGGGAGAGGCAGGAGAGTGGGGGAGAGAGAGAGAATCCCAAGTAGGCTCCATGCTCAGTGCCGAGCCCAACATGGGGCTTGATCCCACGACTATGAGATCATGACCTGAACTGAAATCAAGAGTTGGACTCTTAACTGACTGAGCTAACCAGGCACTCCAGTGTTTTCATTTTCTTTGGATAAATACCCAGCAGTGAATTTCTGGTTCATATGGTAATTCTATTTTTAATTTTTTGAGGAACCTCCATATTGTTTTCCCCAGTTGTTGCACCAATTTACATTCCCACCAATAGTGCACACAAGGGTTCCCTTATCACCACATCCTTGCCAACACTTGTTATTTTTTGTCATTTTGATATTAGCCATTCTGACTGGTATAAGGTGGTGAGTCCTTGTGGTTTTAATTTGCATTTCCCTCATGGTTAGTGATGTTGAGCATCTTTTCATGTGTTTATTGGCCATGTGCATGCCTTCTTTGGTAAAGTATTCAGGTCCTCTGCCCATTTTTTAATTGGGTTATTTATTTTTTGGTGTTGAGTTGCATAAGTTCTTTATATATTTTGGATACTAACTCCTTATCAGATCTATCATTTGCAAATATCTTCTCCCATTTAGGAGGTTGCCTTTTCGTTTTGTTGATGATTTCTTTTGCTGTGCAAAACCTTTTTATTTTGGTGTAATCCCAATAGTTTATTTTTGCTTTTGTTTTTCTTGCCTGAGGGAACATATCCATAATTATGTTGTTAAGGTCAGTGTCCAAGAGATTACTGCCTATAGTTTCTCCCTTCCTTCCTTCCTTCCTCCCTCCCTCCCTCCCTCCCTCCCTCCCTTCCTTCCTTCCTTCCTTCCTGTAATGTTTGTTTGTTTTTGAGAGAGAGAGAGAGAATAGGGGAGGGGCAAAGAGAGAGGGAGACACAGAATCTGAAGCAGGCTCCAGGCTCTGAGCTGTCAGCACAGAGCCCGATGCTGGGCTCGAACCCACGAACTGTGAGGTCATGACCTGAGCTGAAGTCAAACACTTAACTGACTGAGCCACTCAGGCGCCCCTGTGATTTCTTCTAGGAGTTTTGTGGTTTCAGATCTCACATTTAGATCTTTAATCCATTTTAAATTTATTTTTGTGTATGGTATAAGAAAGTGGTCCAGTTTCATTCTTTTGCATGTAGCTGTCTGGTTTTCTCAACATAATTTGTTGAAGAGACTGTATTTGCCCGTTGTATTCTTGCCTTTGTCATAGAGTAATTGATTATATAAGCATAGGTTTATTTCTGGGTTGTCTATTCTGTTTCATTGATCCATGTGTCTGTTTTTATGCCTCAGTCATACTGTTTTGATTGCCATTGCCTGATAATATAGTTTGAAATCAGGGAGCATGATGTGTCTAGCTTTTGTTCTTTGTTCTTTCTCATGATTGCTTTGGATATTTGGTGGGGTTTTTTTTTTGTGGTTCCATACAAATTTTAGGGTTGTGCTATTTCTCTGGAAAGTCCTGTTGGAATTTAATAGGTATTGCATTGAATCTGCAGATTGCTTTGGGTATTTTGGATATTTTGGATATTTTAACAACATTCTTCCAATCTGTGAGTAAAAATATCTGTTTGTGTCTTTTTCAGTTTCTTTCATTAACGTCTTACATTTTTCAGTGCACATGTCTTTCACTTCCCTGGTTAAATTTATTCCTAGGTATTTTATTCTTTTTGATACAGTTGTAAGCAGGATTGTCTTTTAAATTTCTCTTTCTGCTAGTTAGTTATTAGTGTATAGAAATGTGACAGATGTTTGTATATCGATTTTGTATCCTGAAACTTTACTGAATTTGTTTATTAGTTCTTTTTTTTTAATTAAATTAAATTTTTAAAATTTACACCCAAGTTAGCATATAGTGCAACAATGATTTCAGAGGTAGATTCCTTAATGCCCCTTACCCATTTAGCCCATCCTCCCTCCCACAATCCCTCCAGTAACCTTCTGTTTGTTCTCCATATTTAAGAGTCTCTTATGTTTCGTCCCCCTCCCTGTTTTTATATTATTTTTGCTTCCCTTCCCTTGTGTTCATCTGTTCTGTGTCTTAAAGTCCTCATATGAATGAAGTCATATGACATTTGTCTTTCTCTGATTTCCCTTAGCATGATACCCTTTAGTTCCATCCACATAGTAGATGACACTTAACTGACTTGCAAATGGCAAGATTTTATTCTTTTTGATTGCTGAGTAATACTCCACTATATATATGTATATGTGTGTGTGTGTATACACACACAAACACACACACACACACACACATCTTCTTTATCCATTCGTCTATTGATGGACATTTGGGCTCTTTCCATACTTTGGCTTTGTTGATAGTGCTGCTATAAACATTGGGGTGTCTACGTCCCTTTGAAACAGCATACCTGTATCCCTTGGATAAATACCTAGTAGTGCAATTGCTGGGTCATAGGGTAGTTCTATTTTTAATTCTTTCAGGAGCCTCCAGACTGTTTCCCAGGGTGGCTGCACCAGTTTGCATTCCCACCAGCAGTGCAAAAGAGATCCTCTCACTCCACATCCTTGCCAACATCTGTTGTTGCCTGAGTTGTTAATGTTAGCCATTCTGACAGGTGTGAGGTGGTATCTCGTTGTGGTTTTGATTTGTATTTCCCTCATGATGAGTGATGTTGAATATTTTTTCATGTGTCGGTTGGCCATCTAGATGTCTTCTTTGGAGAAGTCTATTCATGTCTTTTGCCCATTTCTTCACTGGATTGTTTTTTGGGTGTTGAATTTGATAAGTTCTTTATAGATTTTGGATACTAGCTCTTTATCTGAGATGTTGTTTGCAAATATCTTCTCCCATTCTGTCAGTTGCCTTTTAGTTTTGCTGAGTGTTTCCTTCACTGTGCAGAAGCTTTTTATTTTGATGAGGTCCCAATAGTTCATTTTTGCTTTTGTTTCCTTTGCCTCTGGAGATGTGTTGAAGTAAGAAGTAAGAAGGTCAAAGAGGTTTTTGCTTGCTTTCTCCTTGAGGATTCTGATGGCTTCCTGCCTTACATTTAGGTCTTTCATCCATTTTGAGTTTATTTTTGTGTATGGTTGAGAAAGTGGTCCAGGTTCATTCTTCTGCATGTCGCTGTCCAGTTTTCCCAGAAGCACTTGCTGCTTTATTCCATTGGATATTCTTTCCTGCTTTGTCAAAGATTAGTTGACCATACGTTTGTGTGTCCATTTCTGGGTTCTCTGTTCTGTTCCATTGATCTGAGTGTCTGTTTTTGTGCCATGAATTTGTTTATTAGTTCTAACAGCTTTTTGGTGGAGTCGTTAGGGTTTTCTGTATATAATATGTCATCTACAAATAGTGACAGTTTTACTTCTTCGTTTCTAATTTGGATGCCTTTTATTTTTCTTGTCTAATTGCTCTAGCTAGGACTAATAGTAATACTGCGTTGAATAAAAGTAGTAAGAGTGGGCATTCTTATCTTGTTCCTGATCTTAGAAGAAATCTCTTAGCTTTTCACTATTGGGTATGGTGTTAGCTGTGGATTGACCTTTTATAACCCACATCACCATTGTACTTTTCATTGTCCAGTTTCTCAAAACCTTTTTGTTTTTCTAAAGACTACCTTTAACATTAAAAAATTTTTCCTTTTCCCTAGGTCACTTTGACCTTTTGTGGGTAATGTGAAATTCCCAGAGATATTTCTTCTCAGTGTAAGCATTAGAATGTCTGAAACTTATATTTTTACACATCTGTGAGGTCACATTTCTGGTGAATAGTGAAAAATAGGATAGAGTATAAATCACAATATACACAATACATAAGTTATATTATTTTGAACACAATAACAGATTTCCTTAATATGCCAAATTTTGAAGGCAGTATTCTAGATGAAAATGCAGATTTAAAAAAAAAAATTTTATAAAATCAATATGTTCATTGAAGAAATTTAGAAAATACAGCAATCTAAAAAGGGAAGATACTAATAAATATCACTATTAATATTTTGTCATATTTTCTAACAGCACTTTTTCTCTATTTTATTTTTAATATTTTAGTAAAGTTGTGTTCCTGTGTTACTACAAATTCTTTTAAATATCTTAAATTAACCCTTAATATCTAGTTATATGGATAATTTGCTTAACCACTCTTATAGATATATTTAGGTTGTTTCATCTTTTTGATTATTATTGAGAGAGAATTTATCTTTTGCATTCCCCTCCCC